GACTAATCAACATTAAAGCACATGTGTAGACACATCCTATGTTTGCCCTTTTCCAGCCATCCAGGACCTCACCTGACCTTCACAAGTTCTCAAAGATGATAGCCAATGGATCCGCAATTACGTCAGCCAATTTCTTCAGTACTCAGAATAAAATTACTCTGGTTATTTCACTGTCTAGAAGCTTGGCTTTTCCACATACTTCTGTCTATCTTTCAAACAGAAGGAAAGTATGTACTTTAGACAAAACAAGTTAGGAAATATTTCAAAGATTAGACATCTAATTTCTTAACATTATGCTACACTTATGACAGCATCTAATACCATCATACAAGGTTTTTAAAAGTGGAATATATGGTGAGCATATAGCGAGTAATTTTTTTTTTGGCTGATTCAGACATAATGGACCATCAAAGGAAAATAATGGAATTCTTGGCCCTGTTATCACTATGATTCATTGCATCTCTGGGAATATTGTTCACTCAGGCATTAACATAACAAAATAAGTCCATAGCTATAAGGTGAAATGCAATCTTGTGAATCATGAATGACTGGTGCCTCCTGAATCTGGCGAGGCACCTGCAGAAGCTGCCAATGGCAGCAGCCCTGTGGGCGGGGGGGGGCACCGGCCCTACCAACAGCATCAGTGTCAGTCATTGGGGGGCACGTGCACCCCCCTGCACCCCCTACCAGTTGCTTAGGTGTGAATTCCGTATGCTACATCTCTTTACATCTCTGTCTGCTCTTCATTACATTTTCTACAACATAAAATCAAGAACACATTTCTGAATAATGGTTTAAGAACAGCCATGATGCTCAAAGCTGAATGATAATATTTAAATCCTTGATCTTAACAGATAAAAAAAAATGGAAGGAGGTACATACACAGCAGATAAGGAGCTATCTTTCTTTGGTTTCTTTTTTTCTCTGGCATCACTAAAATCCAGAGCAGCTTTGTCCATTCCTAGCAACTCGCTGATTCTGTCACGGCCATAAAACTCACCATACTTATCCATAACCTAAAAGATAAGAAGTATATAATTCAATAGAGTCAGGTGGGGAGAAATATGGTGACTTGTTCCTTACTCTGATTTCTTTTTAAGAATAAACTTATCTTGCAGTTAATTGCTCTACTTGTATTTAGTAAAGCTGGTTATTATACCTAAAACATTTGGAATATGTTTAAGAAAAAGGAATACCTTTTATGTAAGAATGTACATGAAAAAATGTTGCTTTTTTAACTAACTCTAATATTTAATTTTATAAACACATTTTAATGAAACAGGTATAATATAGAAAATATATATCATAACAATAGAATATATAACAACATATATAAATAAAAGGAAACAACATATTTTATTAGAAACAGTTACTGATTTAGATGAATCCATATAACATCCCAAAGTATCAGTCCACTGTCCTTAATAATGGTCTAGAGCTTTCATGAATGCCCCATAACCTGAAGTAAATTTTCAAAACTCTGATTTCTTTGACATCAGCAGAGATGGAATGATAAGCTGGACTGAAAGAGGAGTTAAATCTATCCCAGCAATATTAGCCGTCCTTTTTTGGTGTTTACCAAATTGCCTAGAAAGATTTTTTTGTAGTAAATAATAAAATATTTAGGAAGATCAATTTCATTACAGGGAATTTGGGAAGACTGACAATGATGTTTACAAGAAACTAATTCCAGCATTCATAATGAAGGCATTACCATTACTCTGTAATATTTTCTATCTTAAATGGCAAATCTTCTCTAAACAGGGGTGTGTATGACTACACAGAAGAGTACACACATACCCACACATGCATATAATTTAATATATAGAATGCATGCAACTATGTATATGTGTGGGTATATATACACACATCATACTTACGTGCCAAGATTTCATAGGTATGTGCTGAATACATGCATTTTATGAAAGAATTCAAACAAGCTGTCTCTAAATTACATTTAAAAATCTTAAAATCAAATCCTAATATATGCATTCATAAGTACAGATGTGTGTGTGGGTATGTGTGTAGTTGCATACACAAATAAGGTAAGTAATTTGAACTGGTATAAATTGGTAAATACGATAATGAATAATTTATATCCAGATAAAGTTCAAGGAATTATGCCATTCTGTAGTATACCAAATATTAAAACAAAACTAAAAAAAAAAACCAGCCTAAACTGCAAAGTCTACTAAAATGTTTTTAAAAAGTATTACCTTTCTTTTAACAAATTTGTCCCAATAGTTGTTAGGAAATGACCTGAAAAATTTAGATAAGAAATGATACTTTAGAACAACGTTCTCAACCTTTTTAGACTCAAGGCACCCCTCATTAAACTAACCATCTGGAAAAGGGAATTGGCAAGAGGGGCAGGCAGCAGGAATGACAGGCATAGGCACAGTGGGGGCAGGCAGGGAAGCAAGGCATGGGGGTCTGGCCCCTTGCCCTTCACTGCTGCTTTCCCTGAACAGCTGTGATGGGGCTGTGGATTTAAACTGGTTCTCCAATAATTAGATTACCTACATGGAAAATGATAGCAAATTTAAAATGTTTTTAAATTCAAAGTCGCCTGCATTTTGGATAAATATGGTATTATTACTGATTAGTGGTGGTAGTAGTAATGGGTGCCCATACACATGCTCTGATGCGTTCTAATTAGAACACTCTAGCATTGCTGCAGCATCTAAAATGGTCTGTGGAGTGCTGTAACTAAAGCTCATCAAATGAGCTTTAGTTAGAACATCCTGGGGCCATTTTTAAATGTGCAGGGGCTTAATACATGTGATATTGTGCTGCTTTAACTCGAGCAGCTCTCTGGGAACCACTCTAATTAAAACACCCCCACCCCTGAGCTTGTGTATAGGGACCCAATGATGTCAGTAGTAATATTACTGTAGTTCCTATCACCATTGCCCTGGATCTCACTGGGGTAGGCACTATACAAACACTGAATAAAAAAACAGTTCCTGTCCCAGTGGGCTAAACTCTTTGACTGAAAAAAAAAACAGATGGATACAGACACAGGGGGATGTAGTGAGAACTAATGAAACAATACTGGTAAGCATAATGGAGAGTTGCATCAGTGCACTACTGCAACAGCATTTTTTTTCATAGCTACTAGTAAAAGGAAGAGTTTTGAAGAGGGGCTGAAGGAGGGTAATGAGGTTACGTTGTGGATGTTTACAGTTGAATTCTTCCAAGCATGAAGGGCTACATGTCAGAAAAAATTAAAGATGCTTGTTTGAAAAATCTAACAAGCAGGTAACAGGGATAAATTGTGGGCCAACTGGAGATGGAAGTTGACAGTCTGATACTGAATGAAAGAAGACAGATGAGATTGGGATAGACTATGGAAAAAATTAAACCATGGGGCAAAGAAAATGATGGAGGTTTAAGATAGTGACCAGCATCTGTGGGACAACACAGAGACACTGAGTCAGTGCTGACAGGCCAGTGTGTTTCTCCTTGTCAGAGATGGGCTTGATTGGGCTGAGGAGGATTTGTATCTTAATCTTTCCTTTCCAGGTGTTTTGAAACTAGGATATATATATGTAGTCGTATTATTGATTTTGCCTTTGGCTGCTCTGTGTGCGTTCTGTCTTTGGAGAATGAATAACTATAGCAGGCTCTGAGTAGCTGGGGGCCACAGACCATGCCACATGCCCCCTCTTC